CAGTGTTAAAATTCCGAGCAACAAATCTGGTGACTACAATAAGTCAATGAGTTGTTGATCGTTGACTTTAGCCCTATACTCGTGTAGTCCTTTGCTTTGCCACGGGCGGTCACGGGCTGTCATAACCAGCCTCAGAGTGAAAGATGGAGCTGCACTTGACAATCACTTGCGCAGTATACGAACCAGATTGAATCACAGGGAAACAATTCAGCAATCGCCCCATCAGCATCCTCCCTAAAGCTTAACGAGCTTCCCTATGACGAGGGTTTGGATTTACAACACCGCTTAATTACCTGCAAGGAGGTGAAAACCAGGATGATTCCTCCAACTCCATTCAGGCTGACGATCGGGAATAGAAGATGTGATGATTTGTTGCTTGCTATGGTCATCAGTAAGCACGAGGCACAGAACATTGCCCTGTTGTAAGAATTAATCACAGTGAGCTATGTAAGATGGATGCACGTTTATGGTAACCGTTGACACACCGATAATCATCGGCATTTATGATGGGTAGCCATCTATAATCCATCCCAGAAGTTGGGAAAATGTATCTGTTACAGTAAATTGAACGTAAAATGAAAAGTGAACTGGCGAAAAACGAATTAAAAAATTTAATTTTCTTTAAAAGGTTCAGCTTACCCTCCAATGATGCGCAGTTTTCGTGAACCAATTTTGTCCATGATCAAACCGATCGGGAAAGTTAGAGCACTGAGCAGGAACGAGCCAACCTGTAACGGGGAAAACGATGCATCTATTAATGTATATATATATATATATATATATATTAACAATAATATATATATAATCTTATGTCTTAAGTCTAGCACGCATGGGATCTACCATTCACCTTGTGGTAACCTGACTTCCCTCAGCTATGCTCACCTACTATTTCAAGAGCTAATAATATTATTAGCTCTCGGCTATTTCCAAAACTACGTACAAGCATTAGTTGTTTGCTGTTGCATCGTTGCGTATTATATCTTAACAGTAGTTTACTCTGAAAGCCGGGGTACAGTTGCGCGAGGATGTGCATGGATATATATGGCCTACCGTGAAAACCAAGTTGAGCATCTTATCCTGATCAGGGCATCCGATGATGTCATTGTCCCCAATAGTAAAGTTGTGAGCTCCCGTCGCGTTCGACTCTAGCAGGACAACGCTCTCCCCTTCCTCGACGTGGTCTAAAGACGAAGCGGAAAAAGAAAAAAACGTGGCGTAACAGAAAATGGATTCGCGCACAGGCCGGTAACACGTCAGGGGATATGGGGGACCGTTGCGCGGGTAATTAAGTGCGCTAGTAGACAGACGGTACATTCCGTCTGCTGCGTTATTTTCATATCGCGTTCATTCAACTACAAAGTCGAACAATCGATTGAAAACTGTGCCAGTCATTGATCTTACAAAAACATCGAATGAAGCTCACCCAACCTAACCTAAAGTTACTGGCACGTATTTATAAGCAAAATATACTAACACTGGGAACAGCGACCCCCTCAAGTCTACTATCTGCCTTAGTAACTGGGCAGTATGTCACGTGGGCAGCTAAACACTTGTATATGTGTGGGGCCGTTAAACTTGTACAGTTCACCGCGTACTAAAAGGATTCCTTCAACGAAGCTAGGGGAGAATTTGGAGTGTGCTTGTATCGGCAGGGATCGAGGCACATATATATATATATATCAGGAGTTAATAACGACAAATGTTTAAGACAAAAATTTGTCTTTATTAACTATATATATATAGTCCACCCTCTCTATATATGATAATATAGATTATCACACTCTGATATTATCAGCAAGTGTGACACATTTTACAAATAGAATAATATATTGATATTAGCTGGAAACGTTCGCGAGTCGCGACTAAATAGGAAACAGGAAGCATGCGGAATTAAGGCTATCGCAGTGCAACACCCACCACACGTACAAGACGCGCGAGCAAGCATTGCCATATATATTCTCATTTTCATGTCCACGTGTCCATATGATCAGGAGTCTATCAATAGACTACTGACGACTCCTGATATGATGTTCGACTTGTTACCAGGATAGCTCTAGTTAATTAATCATATCACTCTAGCCTTCGCTGCACTAAGTTGTCTACTACTAGAGCTATATGCTGGGGACGAAGAGACTGGATTATCAATATATGTTTAGATTAGTTTGTAGTTTTAGGGACAAGGACAGTCAACCAGGGGATTATATAGTCGGTTATACTATTGCTGATTGCGATCATATATAATCTCTTGAATATCGCCCGCTCCCGCTTTCGAATGGCACTGGTTTCAAGTAGACCCATATCTGGATATCTGTATATCATGGATTTACTTATGAAACAATATTTCCACTGCGCTGTAGTCTGCCCCAGCAATAGATTCCTCGGTTTTTCGGTGTTCCAGTTTCCACCAAAAAAAATTGTCTGCCGATCATGAACGCTGCTTCATGACCCCATTTAATATTTCCAGAACTGATCGCTGCTCTCTTCTAGCTCTACCTCTTTCTGGCTGGTGTTCTTTTCCTGGTGTTACATCGCGCTGTGTAGTATGTTGTGTACGCACAGCAACACGATGATTTTTCCTGACATTTACTGCATGCGAGAAACGGGAGCTATAGCAACCAAGCCGGATGTTTTCGCCGCAAGAATTCGGTCACACTCGAGAGATTTTACGTATAATGTTGCACCAAAGATATTTGCTCGTTTATTTCACCGCTAAGAACTTTGCCGCTGCAACTTTTAGTATTACACGCTTAGTTAAACTAACGCCCAGCCGTCCAAACTCGTTTGCTAGGACGTTTTCATCAAAGTACTCTGTAATATAAATCTTCTAGCGTATATTTGAGCGAATTCTGTGTGCATATATGCAGTGGCGAATACGGGGCACAGCAGTTATAAAACGTGCACTCGTTACTACTACACGTGTCGCGTTTCTGGACCTTTTTTTCATGACAACGCACGCATATATTGTGGAGTGGCTTATGCTTCTTGTTTTTGTGTTGTATTTAGTGTTGTATTTGTGTATACTTCATAGCGCATACTGGTGCGATTGCGATTGCGAATTGCAGAGCTCTAGAGGGAGTGACAGAGAGAGAGAGAGAAAGAGAGAGAGAGAGAGCGAGAGAAAGAGAGAGAGAGAGAGAGAGAGCAGAGAAGAGAGAGAGAAGAGAGAGAGAGAGGAGAAGAGAGAAAGAGAGAGAGAAGAGAGAGAGAGAGAGAGAGAGAGAGAGAGAGAGAGAGAGAGAGAGAGAGAGAGAGAGCGAGAGAGAGAGAGAGCGAGAGAGAGAGAGAGCGAGAGAGAGAGAGAGCGAGAGAGAAGAGAGAGAGAGAGAGAGAGAAGAGAGAGAGAGAGAATCGTGAGAGCGAGAGAGAAGAGAAGGAGAGGAAGAGAGAGAGAGAGAGAGAGCTGTAAACAAAGATCAGCTTTATTCGCAAGCCATACCACCACCTTATATGCACAACGAGAGTTCTCTTCTCTATTATATGATGCACAAAGACCCCCGTCGCGTTCGACTCTAGCAGGACAATGCTCTCCCCTTCCTCGGCCTGGTCTAAAGACAAAGAGGAAAAAGAAAAAAACGTGAATGACCGTGGCGTAACAGGAAATGCATTTACGCACAGGTCGGTAACATATGTCAGGGGACATGGGGGCCATTGCGCGGGTAAGTGCGCTAGAAAGACGGTACATTCCGCCTGCTGCGCTATTTTCATATCGCGTTCATTCAACTACAAAGTCGAACAATCGAATGAAAACTGTGCCAGTCATTGATCTTACAAAAACATCGAATGAAGCTCAACCAACGGGGGCATGCACCTAACGTTACTGGCACGTATTTATAAGCAAAATATACTAACACTGGGAACAGCGACCCCCTCAAGTCTACTATCTGCCTTAGTAACTGGGCAGTATGTCACGTGGGCAGCTAAACGCTTGTATATATATATATATATATGTGTGGGGCCGTTGAACTTGTACAGTTCATCGCGTACTAAAAGGCTTCCTTCAACGAAGCTAAGGGAGAATTTGGAGTGTGCGTGTATCGGCAAGGAACGAGGCTAATGCCCAGGCACTTAATCGGAACGTCTCAATAAAAAAATAATGGTAAATAAACACGAAATGTATTTACTACCAAAGTCTTAATGTTTCTCTACTCCATTTCGCCTATAATCACCTGTAATTGTAAATGCCGGTCAAATGCTCATCTGCAACATACAAGTACACCGCACACTAGCTGCTGCACACTGACACATAAATATATAGTTAAGTGTCAGTGTGCAGCAGCTAGCTTGCGGCGGCCAGCGTGTGACAGTGTGTTGCAGATGAGCATTTTAACGGCATTTACAGGAAATTGTCAGCAATAATAGGTGAAAGAGAGTAGAGAAACTCGTAGAGAATTTGGTAGTAAATAGATTTCGTATTTATTTAGCATTATATTTGATTGAAACGCTCCAAAGTGCCTGTGAGCTAATGCATGGCGTGCCTACTTGTGTCAAATCAACAGCTACGATCCATATATCAAACTTAAATAAATATATAGCAAAGGTAGCTGCCCCTGGGACCCGTATGATAACCTTCCTAAAACACTCCCCTGGGTGTGGTTGCACCTGATATATACATATATATATGTATATATAGTGCACCCTCTCTATATATGATAATATAGATTATGACACTCCTGATTATTATCAGCAAGTGCATGTGACACATTTTACAAATGCATGGATATTTTGATATTAGCAGGAAACGTTCGCGACTATTTATAGGAAACAGGAAGCATGCGGAATTAAGGCTATCACCGTGCAACACCCACCACACGTACAAGACGCGCGAGCAAGCATTGCCATATATTCTCATGTTCATGTCCGCGTGTCCATATGATCAGGAGTCAGGATATTGATAGACTCTAGCTGATATGATGTTCGACTTGTTACCAGGGTAGCTCTAGTTATTTAATCATATCACTCTAGCCTTCGCTGCACTAAGTTGTCTACTACTAGAGCTATATGCTGGGGACGAAGAGACTGGATTATCAATATATGTTTAGATTAGTTTATAGTTTTTGGGACAAGGACAGTCAACCAGGGGATTATATAGCCGGAATTATACTATTGCTGTTTGCGATAATATAATAATCTCTTGAATATCGTCCGCTTCCGCTTTCGAATGGCATTGGTTTCATGCAAGTAGACCAATATCTGTATATATCATCAAGAGCGTATAAAGAAGGTCTTTATACACTATTGATATCATCAGGAGTAAGATAATATAGATCTATATTATCTTACTCCTGATATCATGGATTTACTTATGGAACAATATTTCCGCTGCGCTGTAGTCTGCCCCAGCAATAGATTCCTCGGTTTTTCGGTGTTCCAGTTTCCACCAAAAAAAATTGTCTGCCGATCATGAACGCTGCTGCTTCATGACCCCATTTAATATTTCCAGAACTGATCGCGGCTCTCTTCTAGCTCTACCTCTTTCTGGCTGGTGTTCTTTTCCTGGTGTTACATCGCGCTGTGTAGTATGTTGTGTACGCGCAGCAACACGATGATTTTTCCTGACATTTACTGCATGCGAGAAACGGGAGCTATAGCAACCAAGCCGGATGTTTTCGCCGCAAGAATTCGGTCACACTCGAGAGATTTTACGTATAATGTTGCACCAAAGATATTTGCTCGTTTATTTCACCGCTAAGAACTTTGCCGCTGCAACTTTTAGTACTACACGCCGTCCAAACTCGTTTGCTAGGCCGTTTTGGCTAACGCTCCATTAGGAGTGTTCCCAACTTTGATATCATTAATGATTAATGATTGATAATCCTAACCCTAAACGCCTAACCCTAGACCTAAATGACATTAAACACAACTAATATATGACCATGCCCATATATATATAAATATGTTATTATGACCATTATAATGACATTAAAGTTGGGAATTAAGTTGGGACATTAAGTTGGGAACTCGGTATGGTATCACAA